TCTTTAGCCAGATATGAATCTGGATCGTCCCGTTTGCGTAGATTCGACTATCGTGGGAACGCATCTAGACGCGTATGAATCAGCCATACATTGTTTGAAACTCGCTGCTCTGACAAAACGTCAACTTTATTTTAGTGAGTTTTAGTAGGATTATTCTTTCTTCCGATTCGTGATTTGAGGCATTCCGAATGTGGACTTGGAATAGAGTAGCATAAAGTATCTATTCCAGTAGGTATTTTAAAAAGAGATGGAAATGGACGCTTGGTCAAAGCAAAAACAAAGCATAACACAAATGCAAAATAAACAAAAAACAAGCATCACAAGTTAATTCTCAGCGCGCTTCAACTTGAAGCCTTCAATTGGGGCTAGTTGCGGTGATTAGCCTGCTGGCACTGCTGGCGCTTCCATCGTCATAAAAACTGCTGCTGCTGGTCTAGGGTGGTCCAAAATAAGTGAAGTCCGATTTGAATACTCTCACCCCCTATATCGAAAAAATATACCCCTATCTTTTTTTTTATTTTGAAATCAAAAAATATTTAGAGGTCACTCAAAACGCCCAAAGTTTTCCATGAATATTATATGGGAAAAAACTACTTTCCTTTTCGTGGAAATGGTATGTTTAGAATTCTTGACAAATCAATATTTTTCGTTCGGAAGACTTTGGGTTTCTTCAGGAAACCATTGTTTATTTAACCCATTTTTTAATACTAAAGATTTTCTATTTATCCCCCATTGCATTTTCTGGCATTTACTGTTGTTTTTGGCGGACCTATAAAATATAGTTACTATGAAAAAATGGTTAGATAAATTATTATTGTGAATCTCCTGAAGAGAAACAAAGCTTTCCGATCGAAAAATGTTGATATTCAAGAATTCTTTACCATTTCTACGAAAAGTTGTTTTTTTCCCATATAAAATACATGGAAAACTTTGAGCGCTTTGAGCGACCCCCAAATATTTTGTTGTCGGAAGACTGTACTTTTTCACAAGCATTTTTTAACCCCCCTAATGTATACACGTACTTTTTTCTTGTTGATAGCCTTGCTGTGACTCTGTGGCGCAAAATCTGTAAATACAAGTTCAAAAAACGGAGCAACAGCTGAGCATTTACCCCAATCACAACTTACAACGGTGATTTTAGTTGTAGCTATTATGTGTATGTAGTATGTCTGAGTATGTTGCACGTTTACGTAGCTGGATAGTGTATATAATTAGCGAGCAGCGAAAGATAGAAAGGGGGAGAGGAAAATAAATCGGCAAGCATTGGCGAAATTGCGCACAATGCACTCAAACTACACACAGGCGCAATCAACAAGCTCCCGAGCAATTGCAATTTGTGTCGCATGTAAATGCTACAGTTACGGAAAGAGAAAGAGTACACATGTGATAAGTGGTTGGACTAGCTTCTCCTCCAATTTGTGTTGTGCGTTTTGATGTTGTTACACAAATAGAGGGAGCTACGAAAAATTTTGTCGAGGGTGTTGCGCATTCTCTTTCACATAAAAATAGATTTTGTTCATACGTTACATGAAAGAAAATGCTGAACACCCTCACCAAGAAAAAAATATTCTAAAAAATCAACGGTAATTTTTAGTGACTTGAAACTTGCACTTTGTTAGACTAAAATTGAATGGGCTGCAAAACTGCATAGTCGAAAATTTTCTAAAAATTCTGAATAAAAAGTTTGAAATTTTGATGCAAATTTTTTGAAGTTGGGATTCATTTTGTGAACTTTGTGCAATTTTTGAAATTTTAATTTCTATGGTTTCTGTTTTAGAACGAACTACATACATATATTTTAAATGAAAATTATTAAAAATCAATAAATAAACCTGAGTTACAATTAATATCATTTTGAATTTCGCTACTATAATTTTGACCGCTGCTGTACAGGTATGTATGTATTTGTATATTAGGGTGGTCCTTAAATGTAGGAAGAAAATTTGTACACCAGATTTCCTAAGCTTCAAATCCTACGTCGATGTTACTATAGTCGAAGATATCACATATAAAATATGGTCCCGATTGAAGTCGGTTAAGGCTTACCGCACAGAGGTCAAATTTCAGATTACGCTATGAATACATCTTAACCGACTCCAAAAGGGACCAAAACTTATATGTGATATCCTTGACTTCATTAGTATCGATTTTAGGTATTAAATAAAAAATATATATATTTGTATATTTTTAATTTTTTGAGTCCATAGAGGCATCTGGCATACCAAAATGTGTATGTGATATCTTCGACTATGGTTTAATTTTAATTTTTTGAATATCTATACAGGGATCTGTACTTTGCCCCCTGTGTGAGGGGGTAAGACTAAAAAAATCGTCCATTTGATTTTTTAAGGACCACCCTTATGCACATACATATGTATGTACATTTATAAGTACGGTTATGCTTTATTGTAGAGCACGGAAATGTTGCGTCGTCAGCTTACAAACAAGTTGAGCTAAATTATTTCATCGTTGCATCTGGACAGTAACAGTTGCTGCAACGTTTTTTTTTTTTGTTTGTATGTGGTATGTATGTACTATGTTTGTATGTGGCACGTATGACGATCTATTCGTGCCCTAACTATTACACAGTCTGACTTTTAACCTACAGCGGCTGCAAGTGCCACTTCCTCTGGCTTTGCCTCTAACTTCACTCAGAGGTGTGCACTCACACAGCTGAACGGCCGCTGTGCAGTGAAAGTGATGGCCGATAATTTCGCATTTCAATTGTAATTACAAACTTCTAGGAATTTGTTGGAAAGGTAAGTAAATGCCCTGCATGAAAGTAGATTTGATTCGGATTTTGTAAACTTGCACTTTTTTTTTTTGTAATTGTATGTATTTTCTTCACATTTTGCGCTTCCGTTTCCCTCAAAAAACATACATACACACACATACATGCATGCTAACTAGAATTAAGTAGTACAACGTAAGAAATAAAAAAGTTGCAACTTGTCGTTAGTTAACCGCAACATTTATGGCTTTGTCCCAATTTTCGATGTTGCCAGAAGTAGTATTTGGATGTAATGCGACCGGTGTACTGCGACATTGGAATAGGGGACACAACAAGCTGGTGTGCTAAATATTTTGATTACAGTTTGAATACCAGTTTTCGCAAAAAAAACCGTAATCATATGCTGCGAAAAGATTTTACATACTGTTACATCCCAATATGGGTATGTGTTTACACATACTTATCAGAGCTGATTTAGAGATTAAAAATCCTATGGAATCTAAATGTCAATCTGACCTACTAAAATTCCAAATAAAAAATACTTAAGAGAGTATTATGGAATAAATATTAAATTTAAATGTAATTAGGGTATACAAGGGTATATATAGCACAACAGCGAGCCTGAGGTCATGGCAATTGAAGTTTCCGATTTTTAAATAAAATCGCTTAAACTTGAAAACCGAAAAACGAGGCAAACCAGCCAGCAGTAGTCGCAACGAGCCAGGCATTGACCGCTGAAAGAATATCGGATTTGATCAGAGCTTAGTGAAGCGGTGTGAAGCACGCAAGGCAAAATTAAATGAGGGAAGCAAAGCGCGAAAAAAGTCAGCAAAGTGATTAAGCAGCAAAGCTCAAAAAATTTCTCTCTTACCACTGCTAAGTGTGCAAAACCTGCTCCTCACCTACTCAACATGCCCACAAACAACCTACTCTCGGCCATTATCACTAGCGATATATGTAAAAATAAATGAAAATAAAAAAGCAGGTTTCAATGTTCGCCAAATTGCAAAGTATTCACTGACATTTGTAAAATTTTTGAAAACTTTAATTGAATGTATGGCTTTCATGAGCTGGCAATCCTCATAAAGTTTATATTTAGTAAGATATTTTGATTTCCAAGCAGAAACACGAGAAATTTTTTTAATTCAACACAACTAATTAGGAATTGGTATTACCAAATGGAATAAAATGCTTCATATAGGATATTCATTTTAGAGTTTTTCATGTCAAAGTCCAGTTTTTCTGATATCCTGCTGCGATTCGCAAGGGATTGGGTGGTACAGTCTTAAAAGAAGAGAGCTTGTTTATTGAGGTGACCACTGATTGTCCCAAAGCTATTTAAAACAGCTCACTTGCGCTTTCGGCATCATGTACACAATGACCACACGCAGACAATGTACACAAAATACATACTTGACTACAGTCTGTATCGAACTATGCCGATGGACAAATCTATCAAAATGCCACCCACCGAACTGGGGAATGCTTCTGGAATGACCATACTTGGGCAGATATATGCATGCATATAAATCTGGGTCGTTACGTAGAGCCGACCGTCGGTGGAAAGATGTAGCGGCATTACTAAGGCTTCCCTAAATAGATTAAATCTTCAAGCTCTACCCAAAGTGAATTAGTATTAGCTGAGTTAGTTTAAGAGGGCAAGTACCTCAAGAAAACTCAAGCTCTTCGTCTACGGTGGGTGATGTTTGAACTCCGATGACGGCAAGCTCGGGACACGAAAGTGAAAAGATAATGGTTGTGTGGAACTATTTTCGTAGAGATGTCTTCTGTCGTTCCTAGAAGGCGGCTCTGCTTCCAGAAAGTAAGTTTTCGGATGCCACCAGTCGTAGCAGACGACCAGGAATTGATTTCGTGTTCACTACGGGGATGTTTCTGTTGGGTTGCCATAAATCCTATCCATGCCAACTTTAATCTAACAAGCAGAAGCTAACATGATTAGGATGTACTTGTTTTATTTTTTTCTAGTTTATATTCAATGAAAGGCAAGTTTGCTAAGTCCAAAAGAGGAACCGAAAATCCGACAAAACCAAAATAGTACGAAATCTTTTAATAGAGATCGAATCCTTATTCGCTTGAATTTTTGCTTTGCTTTAAACGCGCAATATGTTGTATTCAAACATTTGCCAAAATCGCTATAAGAAGTTTTTTCCTTTCCTTTAAAATCACAAAATTTGACTTGGCATCTTTGCATGCTAAGCTAGCGATATATCGATGACACAAATCAAATTTAGTATAAAATAGTGCTTACCTGGTAATATGAATCCGCCATGTTAACAGTAGACTCCAAAAGACGTTGATGCTTTTTCTATTTGGTGCTTGATTCGAAATGTGCGATATTTTAATTTATTAAAAAAAAACTAATTCTAAGAATTAATTCATTTCACGAGCAAACTTTCTACGCGAGAGTAATTAAAAATTAATTACGTTATTTTGTCGCAAACTACTGTCTATGTTATTTTTGCACATTCTTTTCCAAGACGTTTTAAAACATTTATAAGAAATGTATGTACTGAAATATATTTACTGGCAAATAAGTAGTTAGCTCGGAATTAATTGTGTTATTTGTCGAACGCAATTATAATTTCTTGGCTAAATTTATTTCCGTGGAGTGGTGGCGATAGGTTGTACGAGTATAAAGGAATTTGTTTCAATTGCAAAGACGAGACTAGAGTTTACTTGTTTCGCGCGCTGAAAAAAAAGAAGAAATAAATCTTTAAAATATTAATATAACAGAAATAGTGCAAATGTATGTATGTATGTACATATGATCAGAAATACGCTTATAAAGAAACACATATACATATCCATATGTAAGTATGCATGTAAATACATATGTATGTAATAATAATAATAATAGATTGGCGCTTACACATATGTTAGTGTTTGGCCGAGCTTCTCCTCCGATTTGTAGCGTGCGCCTTGATGTTGTCACACAAAGCGGAGGGACCTACAGTTTTACGCCGACTCCGAACGGCGATTGTATTTTTATGAGAAGCTGTTTTTCATGGCAGAAATACACTCGGAGGTTTGCCATTGCCTGCCGAGGGACGACCGCTGTTAAGAAAAAACCTTTTTTCTATATTTTTGCGATGTTGCTTTGACCAGGGTTTGAACCCAGGCATTGTGGAATGGAAGCGCGCACTGCTTACCACTACACCACAGCGGCCGACAGTAAGTATGTAAAAAAATTAAATAAAAGTTACGTGGTATAGACTTTGCGAAAAAGGGCATTTTCTAATTACCGCTGCCATAGCAAACGAATGCATATTTTTATAAATGAGCTACAAGCAAATTCCACACCTAGCCATGCGTCCAATTGCAAGCCTACATGCACACAAACCAACTTTGCGATTTGCAGTTCCGTAATTGCCGCCAATTACATTTACTAAGGATTTAATTGGAACGTAATGGAATGCTGCGCAATGCGTCCAAATTTCATCGTGAAAAGAACTTCTCGAATGCTGCATAGTTAAAACTAAGCAAGTGCGGTCGAATTGCAACCACTGCGATAAAGATCTTTCCTTATTTGACTCATAGAATGGTGAAATCGGCAGAACCGATTGTTTATGTACTCTGCTGTAATGATAATTTAGCAATGACTAAATTGTTGTGATTTATTTAAGGCGTTGGCTTTTATTGCGATAGCACACACGCCCTTTAACATAAAATGCTACGCACTATATCTTATTGTACATGCCTACATAAATTTATACATGACTTGTTGCGTTTTAATAAAACCTATAAACGTGTGCTCATATGCATATCCGCGAATATGTATAATTCCTTTTGACTGCATGATCATTAGGAGGAAGAGATTTATGTCAATGAAAATAAGGTAGTTCAATTAGGAAGAAAATGCCATGAAATTTTGCTTCTTGCTTCTCAAGCGCGTAATTTTCCCCATTTCGCAAATTTTTCTTAATTGCATCAAAGTGCACGTAATACTTTTTGGGCGTTTTTTATATACATAAATACATTCGCTGAACGGGCAGCGTGTGGTAAATGTACAATGTATGTATACCGAAACGTTTTGTGTATGTTTATTATGTGCTAAAATTGTTTATAGAAAACAAACTTTTCACACACCCTTGGTCCAATTAAGTACAAAGCTCCACGAATAGTTTCACAGTCAATTAAGTACATATGTAGATATACCATGAAATAAAGATTATACAAATTTGTATTAAATAGACTGTATATTACCTTAGGCATATATCCTATAGAAATTTAAGAAATCTGCCAAAGCGAAGTATGTAGGTATGTGCTTCGTTTTATCTGTTCTTTGCGATTTCTATTCTATTATTACTTATCTATTCCCATAAAGGCGGGTATACATAACTGGATCGTCCCAGTTTTATATTTGACCAAGGACTGTCAATCCAGTATCACTCCCCAAAAACTCTGGGTGAATTTACATACATGCTGTTACAACAACAATTATTTATAAGCCCACCAAGATGTTGAGAGGGGTATACAAATATGTATATGTACATATATGCTACAAAGTAAAGCAAGTGAGTAGAATGATTCCAAGTTCCATAGGGTGCATATACACATATTTACATATACAACATAGTTGACTTACCTTTTAGTTTCTCACAAAGGGCAAGACACCTGCGTTGGTTTTCCATGCATACAACGTTCAAACAAAAAAATGTTGAAGGGACGTGGAATTATGGATATATGCAGAATTCCCAAAGTTTTCAGGTGCCATACATGCAATCTAGCCTTGAAGCAAATCCAATCTGCCAAATAACTTGTGTAGATACTAGTCGTTGTATTATTTTTTGTTCGTACGAATTGCCGCTCAGCAATTTATGCTAAGACAAAAGATTGCAATTATTTTTTTTTTTTCTTTTGCTTACACGCTAGCCGCAGCACGGAGCCCGTAATATCAGGTTTTTTCACTTCGCAATTATTTCACCAAATATTTTAGACGAGTTTTAATGGAACATTTACGCTTTAATTGTAAATGCAATATGCCTGTTCGCGACGGATTATGACGCTCAAACACCAGAGCTTAGTTTTTTTTATGGAAAACGCGGAACTTTGAGCAAAATTTAATCGGAAATTATAAAATTCAAATAGAAAAGAAAATATATCAGGCACAACACCTCAACAACCGACAACCAAATTCTTGTCGCTTTGTTTCGCCGCAAACGAAGACATGCAGTGCTGCCAACAAAATAATGGTGACAGCGTTACCACACTACTGGAAATATCCGGATTATTTAAGGTCGGATTCGTTTAAAATTCTTTGTTTGATATTTGAAATTGTTTTCATGAGTCTACCAACGTCCCAACGAATGAAAATGTACCATGGCCGACGAATTGAGAGAATAAATTTACCTTGTAATGTTTTTATCACGATTTCGAGGCAAATTTATACAAGGTGGTGTTCAAGGCGAATTTAGGTTTTCGGCGTGGTGTTTCTGAATGTCAAAATGATGTGTTTGTTGTAAATTCGCCAGTTACACTACTAAGGCGAATTTATACAAGGTGGTGTTACTGGCGAATTTAGATTTTCGCCGCGGTAATGCTAAATGTCAAAATGATGTGTTTGTTGCAAACAAGGTGAATTCATATTACAACAAACACATCATTTTGACATTCAGTAGTACCGCGGCGAAAATCTAAATTCGCCAGTAACACCACCTTGTATAAATTCGCCTTGTATCATTTCTTCACAAAAACCAAGACGAATTTATACAAAGTGGTGTTGATGGCGAGTTAAATTTTCGCCGCGGTACTACTGAATGTCACAATGATGTGTTTGTTGTAAACAAGGCGAATTCAATTTACAACAAACACATCATTTTGACATTAAGACGTACCTCGGCGAAAATCTAAATTCGCCATCAACACCACCTTGTATAAATTCGCCTTGACAAAAACCTTACCCCACATCTTCTATACCTTTTGGTAAATCTAACATCTTTCAAATTTCTGTTTTAACTTTGTCCCGTATTCTCTTGCTGTCTGTACATTGTTAATTTTGAAATATTGGGGCGTATTTATAGTCGAAATAAAGTCGGCTCTATTGTTAGTTGCAGCTTTTCTCCATTGAAACTTATATAAAAGAACAATTGTATTAGCCGTAGGCTATTTGTTAATAAATAAATAACTTGTTCATTGGTTTTACAATTTTACGTGCAACCGAGAGTTTGTAAAATAAAATTGACGAACAATGTTGTATTATTATTTATTATTTCTCAGTTATGTATCCATTTATATGTACGTATCGGCAATTAAAATACATAGCATTATTGTGCTGCTTAAACATTTTATGAAGCAAAACTTTAAGCTGATGGTTTCTTTGGCAAGGAACCAAATGCAGATATTACAGTGCCTTTTGTACCGGTAACTGTGGTGGTTAATGTTGGCGGTACCGGTTTAACCGCAGCAGCCGGCTGGTCCCATTTGGATTTTCTATGACGAGATTTAAAATAAATAAAGTTTTCATTGAGCACCAGTAATCCCTTTACCTCTTCTTAGCTTCCTCTTCGACTTTACGTGCCAGTGCTGTGGCCTGCTCGATTTTATCCGTGTCCTTACGTTCTTTTTGCCGTTTGAGCATTTCACTTTTTTGTATACGTGCCAATTCTTCATAGTAACTTTCTGGCCCCCATTGCAGCGGGTCATAGATCTCCGGAGGATAATTTGTGCCAAATTCATTTATGTCACAATATTGTATAAGTTTTTCATAAATACTGGGATTTCGGAATTCTTTGCGCTCTTGTATAACGCGATTCATATCCATATTGGTTGTTTCCATTTTCTCATATAAATGCTTGATTTTATCGACCAAATCTGCCGAAGGTTTACCTTTAGGCTCCGGAGGTAAAGAAAATCCATAATGAGCATATTTACTAAGCTTATCAGCTTTTTTTGGCGATTTAGACTCATTTCCTTGTTCAGTCGTCTCATCAACTTCCATTTGTACACTGCTACTGGTATCTCTTGAAGTCAACACATTACTATGAGCACTTCCATCATCGTCTTCGCCTTCTGATTGGGACTCATTGTTTGACTGCGAAGAAGCACTTTCTTCTTCGTCACCATCGGATATCACTGTGTCATCTTTATAACTAACCAGGCGACGTACAGACTTTTTGCGCCTTTTCTTTTTTCCGTTCTTTTTCGGTTGGCGTCTTTTCGGGGCTTCCTTTGATGCTCGGTAGTTTTGGAATAATAGCCTTCAATAAATGTAGAAATCATTAGTTTTTGAACAATAGAAAATATGTTAAAAAGGAACCTGGGACGCTTGCGAGTTAGACGAGTCCGGGCTAGGATCCTCTGGTTCGCCTTCATTCTCCGAATCTGTATACTGAGCGGTCAAACTTTGCAAAGCTTTGCTCATATTTCAGTTATAAATATATGCAATCTTTTAAATGGTTTTCAATTGTTTACAAATAAGATTTTGGTAGTTTTCACTAAAATTGCTGCAAAATTTGCGACGACCAATCAGCTGTTCAAAAACAAGAGAACGCATTTCTTTGAAGAAACTAAACTGACGTTCACTGAACAGCCCCTCCAGTGCTACCGTATCGCGGTTTAAGCTTCACTTTTTGAAACAAATACCATTTGACATCATGAAGAAATTTCAGAACTTTTTTTTACAATTTTTCCAAAATCATACTCAGTTATTTGATGTTCGAGTTATGCTCTTTCGAAAATGTATCTAATCTGCATTATCTATTTTTCTCCTTTCGTAGAACTACCTCTGGCAATGCAATGAACAGCTGATCGCAACGTACAACAAAAGTTGTTGTTGTTATTAGCTGCGTTCGATAACAAAATTAGCCAACACCAGCCAACAATCAAAATCAAGAGAGTAAGCGAAAATTCTCTCCCAAAGAGATGAAAAAGCAAAAAATTAAACGAACAGGAAATTAGCCATTACTTGCAAAAACCGGAAGAAGAGGACACACCAGCTGACTTTGTTTAGTTTTATTTGTAAACGAACTGAAATTCATGTTGCCTCCATAGAAGAAAAAAGGAAAGTGAACGTTCAATGTTCGCCATTAACATTTCTAGAAGTAAAAACCATGATAAAAATATAGTAAGGTAGAACCGCTGAGAGTCACTTTTAAAATTCTTGACGTTTCCAAACAATTTAATTTTTAAATTTACTCACAAACTCACACACACATTTTCATTTTCAATCTCAAGCAACAACAATTTCGAACAATTTCAATTTTTTATTTTCACTTTTATATGATTTTAAAATGTTGGCAAACTTCAAAAAAAATCATGGGCGACAAATTGAGAGAACGGTTCTACCTTGTTATGTTTTTATCATGGTAAAAACAATACAAACAAAAGCAATAAAGCATATAAATACCAAAACTAGGAAAATGCAATTTTGTTTGTTTACAAAAATTGCAACCATGTGTTTTGTTATCATATGTTTTCGTGTTGGATAATTTTTGCTGACTAAAATTTTGCCAGTACAAAATGAACGCTTCTCTTGCATCAAAATGAACGCTTGCTCTCTCAATTTTTGTGTGTTGGATAATTTTTTGTCGTTATCGAACGCCATCCAGTAAAAATTTGGAACAACTATTACAAATTTTTGACTTGTCGAACGCACCTATTGACGTTGACGTTTTCTGTAGAAGATTTATAATTTTTTTGTGTTTATTGTGAAAAGCTTATATTTTGCCAAGAAATATGAGTTCATCTACCGAGGACTCCAAAAGTGAGGATCGAATTCAGAAACGCGTGAATAAGATCCTCGAAACAAGATTGGAAGGCGATAAAGTTTGTGGTCCTGGTATCTCTAACTGAATTAGGTAAAACGTTTTCTATTTTCATAGGATACTCTGGACGCGCTTAGTAATCTTTCCAACTTTTTTACTGAAAACACCTTGCAAAATCGGCGTAATCTTCGAAGTGAGATTGAACGTCGTACAGTCGGCATAAACGATAGTTTTCTTGGGGCCTTTCGAGAAGTCAAGAATACGCTTGATGCAGTATGCGAAGATCTAGATACCATGTCAAAATCTGTTCAGGCTATGAAGTCAAATTTAGAATCTTCAAAAGCTTTAACTCATGACCTGATTACTCAAACTAATTCGTTGCAGACTGAGCGCGAACGGCTTCAGGTTGATCAACAGATAGCCGAGGCTTTCCTAGCACGTTTTCAACTCACTGTACCCGAACACCAAATACTTTATGGTACTACAAAAGATGCACCAATTGTGTCAGAATTTTTCACTGTGCTGAACCGGGTCCAAAGTATTCACGCGGACTGCCGAGCTCTAATGCAATGTGGCTATCAGACAGCAGCTTTGGAAATAATGGAGGAAATGACTTTACATCAAGAGGGAGCATTTGAGCGACTTTATCGGTGGACGCAAAATCACTGTCGGAATCTGGAAAATAATGAAATTGGTTCTTTGGTAATTGAAGCAATGAGTCGGCTCCAAGACAGACCAGTACTATTCAAGTATGTTGAAATTTCATTTGACGGAAACATAGGGTATCTGACACTTGAATGTTTATCCTTTCAGATATGTAATTGATGAATACGCTATTGCGCGTCGTGCTGTGCTAGTGCGACTTTTTATTGAAGCATTGACAGAGGGTGGTGCCAGTGGCAATCCAAGGCCTATTGAAATGCATGCACATGATCCAAAACGTTACATTGGTGACATGTTTGCATGGCTCCATCAAGCAATACCGAATGAAAAGGAAAACCTTTCGTTGCTGCTGAAGAAATGCGATAAAAATGGTATAATGAATTAATCTCTAAATATACATATAAACAAAGCTTGCTTTCAGATTTGTCAGAGCAAACGCAAACCGCCTTAGCCTACGTTGCTGATGGTGTATGCCATCCTCTCAAGGTGCGCGTGGAAACCATATTGACTTCAGAAAAGGATACTATCGTTTTGTTTGCGATATCGAACTTATTACGCTTCTACCAACAAATTATAAAACAAGTACCATGTCTCTGGCACATACAAGTATGTGCCTTGTAATAACTTTATTTTATTGCAGGTGGTCAAAGGAGGTGCACTTGAGCAAACCCTTATTGATTTACAAAAGTCTAGTGAGGAGATTTATTTGAACTCGCTCTCCAAACAAGTCCGCAGCATTCTACAACGTCCAGCCAGCGCCAATTTAGGTCTTGAACCGCCGCAGCGGGATTTGGTACCACCAGCGAGTGTTGGTCGCCTTTTGAACATGCTCAAAGAGATCCTATCAGTAGCTACCATGGTCGATGGGCGACAAACAGACATTACAAAGATAGTATCTTGTGTTATAGATCCTCTGTTGCAATCAGTACAGGAGTCGGCTTCACATTTACCTACAATCGATATGGCTGTCTATCTTCTAAACTGTCTCTATCATATGCAAAGCTCATTGGCAGTGTACGAATACATGGACGAACGCGTAGAGCGTTTACAAGCACAGTCAGATGCACAAATCGACACGCTAATTTCTGAACAAGCATCTTCTTTGGTGGCCAATCTAAATCTAGGTCCGATCTATACAATACTACAAAACAATCAAACCAAAATTGAGGCGAATTTACTTAAAATATTCATGAATAAAATGGAAGCTTTCTTAGAAATGCCAGAAATGTTACTGCTGCCACAAGTTCAGTTGTTAATGTCCAGTGGTCATCGCAACTCTGTGCAAAAGCGAGCTTTCAACGTTATCGTCGCTATATACAAGCAAATATACGAACGTGTTCACGATCCGGCAAACGATTTCGACAATCCAGAGTCTATATTTAGTAAAACGCCGGAGCAGGTCAGCAAGATTTTGGCTGTTTAAATAAGATTTTGTTTTTATATTATTGATATATTTATCACCTAAAATGTATAAATTTATGAAGTATTTAAAGGAATTAGATTTTCACATTCACACTTTGTTAGCGGAAGGTACAATTAATGCTAGTATTTTTTTTCAAATAACTAAAACTCTCGGCAATCTACAAGTTACTCGCCAGCAACTCTTTCGTTTTTTACATTCATATATAGCCATTAGTTTGTATAATTACTCATGCATATGTATGTATAAATATATTATGCATTGCAAATAATGGGTACACGACTCCATATCAGCCGCAGTTTTATCAATCTTTAAAGATTGTGTGTACTGCCTCCTAAACTCTTGCGCCAATCTTTCGTAACGTTCTGTTATTGTTTGATATTGTGGTTGCTAGCTGTGTGCTAATGTGTACAACAATAGCGTAAATGAAATTAAGTGACGAAGCATAGCCCAAAGCAAAAGAGCTGCTTGCGAAATAAAAGAGGCTGTGACAGACGGATGTGTAATAACTAGTAGTGTGATTGTTACTTGTGTCAGCCGCCGTCGGTCCATAACAAACTCGACAAATAAATCGATTACGCGGTGTTTTCTTATCATACAAAAAAAATAAGAAAAACGTAGAAACTATAAAATTTTATTGCAACTATTTTTATTGCAAAACTAAAAGTTATGGACTCAGAAAACTTATTGGTATCGTAAGTAAGTTAAAGTGCAATGTGATTAGTGTACAACAGTTATTGCGAAAAATTCTTTATTAGCGTGCACAGTTGGTTTTTTTTTTTAGTTGCCAATGACGTCCATATACATATCTATATATAAACACATTTTTTATCTCTTAAAGGAATTTTTGGGTTGCGCGACAAAACAAGCGTCATGTCTGTTAGTTGTTTAGATAAACATGTATGGATGCATGAATAACATTAAATAAATCACATTTTCATTGTGGTGATACGTGCCAGAAATGTTCCGCGTGAATTTCTGAAGAATGGGACCACCCTTAACTAGGCAATTTCGTCTTGGTTTTGGAAGATTAGAGCTGATTATGGGAATATTTAATTTTGAAGTGTTCGGGTTAAAGCACATATACTTAAACACGCAAGATTTAATTCTTGACTTAATTCAATGAATCCATCTTTTTTAAAAGCCTTATATGTATACTTGAACGTCTATTCAGTATCAAGATGAAAAATCATGATTGCACACATCTAAGCTAGCTCGGCATTAGCCAAACCAATTATTATTATGAAATACGTACTTATAAAATAATGCATTACATAGCAAAAATAATATAGAAAACCGGGTATAAATCTATTAGGTGCTCTGGACCATGATAAAAACATAGCAAGGTATAACCGTTCTCTCAATTTGTCGGCCATGATTTTTTTTTGAAGTTTGCCAACATTTTAAAATCATATAAATGTGAAAATAAAAAAATGAAATTGTTCGAAATTGTTGTTGCTTGAGATTGAAAATGTAAATGTGTGTGTGAGTTTGTGAGAAAATTTAAAAATTAAATTGTTTGGAAACGTCAAGAATTTTAAAAGTGACTCTCAGCGGTTCTACCTTACTATATTTTTATCATGCTCTGGACCTTCCAAATGTCTAAGTATGTGAACGCTTTACCAACTCGAATTTATTTTGAATCAGTTATGCTAGTTGTTAGGCAAGCAAACGAATTTCATTCAAATAGCAAGAACATATCGTAACCCCATATT